GCAGCAACTGATTTTCTTCTTCATATTGTGACGTATAGCCAAGTGAAATGGATTATCAAAAAAGAAAAAATGTATGATATTTTAACATGCATGGATTAAGTGTTCAATCAATAACATGTATTTTCAAACAGAATTGTACGGGACTTTGTTAACCAAGCATAATATTTATTTATCTTTTATAGAACATATAAAACAGATATTATACAAAAAAAAGATTCTAGTAAATTTAACAAATAATTGCACAGAAACAGAAAGTAACATTGAAATAAACATGACATTTTGAGGTAAAAAGACTGAAATAGTATTTTCTTGTTAAAAGTACTTTAATAACAACTTTCTGAACCAACAACCATTTTTACAGTGTAATAATAAACTATAATACCATACTGCAGTACTATAAAAAATTCAATTAAATAAAAGCAACCTTTTTGCAAATATATATAAAGTTACAGAAAATTATGGATAAAAAGGGTACTTGTAATTTATCTCACAATTCTGTCTTTTTTTCTCACAGTTTTCAGAAAATTAAGTCAGATTTGTGAGATTAAGTCTCTTAAGAGATTAAGAGTAAACTCCCAATTACCTTTTTTGTATTTTATTCTGTGGTGGGGGAAAAAACTGAATTGCAAGATATAAAGTCAGAATTTCCAGATGTAAACTCAGAATCGTGAGATATAAACTGCCAATTGCGAGAAAAAAGTCTGAATTGTGAGATGCAAAATCCCAATTACCTTTATTTATTTATTTTTTTTAAATCTGTGGCAGAAACAGTCTTCCATATACATCGGTACCCCAAAAGAAAATCAGCTTTTTATTTAGGGTCACAATGTCTTGTCTCATAAATCTAAATAATAAATCATAAATCTCAATATAAATCTAAATAATAAATAATAAATCTTCAAACAGTGTTCCCTATAGCTGAATTTCTGTTCAAGTTTACAAGGTAGAAAAAACACCAGCTTTACAAGATGTCTACTCAGAGTGTAACATCATATTCTGCAATAAACTCTTACTGAGAATAATAGACAGGAGATGCTATATAGACATAAGCTGAAAGTCATTCTGTTGAGAGATTTGAGTCAGATGAGAATAAAGACAGGACAGAAAACAGTACGACTCTTTATACAGTCTGCGTTATGATGAGTCAAGGTCATTTATGTGGGTGAAATACAGAAAGAATAGCACTATGAGTTGTATAAAGCTTTGTTTGTGTGCTGTAGTAACTCCATCTCTTCCTCTGTATATAAGAGTGTGTGTTTTATGTGTCGTGTGCTCACGTTCCTCTGGGAGTGTGTAATCGTGTGTTTGTCCACGTGTGTATTCCTGCAGCAGCGGATCAATAGTCTGTGAAAGCGTTTGGAGATGTTTTCATACAGGCATGACAAGGACGTCCATTCTTAGTCCCGGCGCGGAAAGAAAAGGACAGTTTCTGCAGTCTGTCAGACAATGACCAGCCTCAATAACGGAGTGAAAGGACTTACAAAACACTTAAATATAATACATAGTGGAAAACTACTTCTAACTACTACATTATTTCTCATATTCCCTTTTTCCCCATTTGTCCTTCACTGCAGGAACGTTTCTAAAGCAGAGAAACGCAATAGAGCAGACACAAAATGACAGAAAAATTATCCGTCGCAATTATCTGTGTTTTTGTAATTCTGTAATGTTTTTCGGTTAAGGCAACTGACAGCTTTTACAGCGCTATCATGTCTTTCTTTGAAGGAGACAAATACAAAATAGACAGCAAAAACCATCGGCTCACTAGAATACTTGATTTTTTTACGCTACTGAAAGCAACTCAACCAGCATGTTTATTATATTTAAAAATAATAATAAACACGCAATTAGATTGCAATTATGCTAAAAGGCACTATACGACAATGCAAAACTCATTTCAGTCTACAAGACATCAGTCTGATTATATATAACATGTTTTTTTTCTGAAAGAAATTAATGCTTTTATTCATCAAGGACGCATTAAATTGACCAAAAGTGACCGTAAAGATATTTATAATGTAACAAAAGATTTATATTTCAAACAAACGCCGTCCTATTCATCAAAGAATCCTGAAAAATAAAATGCATCACGGTTTCCACAAAAATATCCGGCAGCACAACTGTTTTTGAACACTGAAAATGATCAGAAATGTTACTTGAGCAGCAAATCCGCATAAAATAAAATGACATTTTACAACATATCCAAACAGTTATTTTAAATTTGAATAATTTCTCACCCATTTCTGACCTAATAAATGCAGCCCTGGTGAGCAGAAGAGACTGGGGGGGGGGTAATACTTCTATTACTCAAGGTTGCATTAAATTGACCAAAAGTGACCGTAAAGATATTTATAATGTAACAAAAGATTTATATTTCAAACAAACGCCGTCCTATTCATCAAAGAATCCTGAAAAATAAAATGCATCACGGTTTCCACAAAAATATCCGGCAGCACAACTGTTTTTGAACACTGAAAATGATCAGAAATGTTTCTTGAGCAGCAAATCCGCATAAAATAAATGACATTTTACAACATATCCAAACAGTTATTTTAAATTTGAATAATCTCTCACCCATTTCTGCCCTGGTGAGCAGAAGAGACTAATTTCAAAGCATATCAGCATAATAGAATGATATATATATATATATATATATATATATATATAAAATCACCAATGCACAATGGCTTTTAGTTCATTAAATGCATGCATATGTAGAACTATCAGTGCATTTCATAATCTGGAGTCTCATTTGATTGGTGCAAAGAGGAACTGGATTGGACTTGATCCAGACACAAGAGGAAAAATAGTCTCAGTTTCTCTGCCAGTCGTGTAAGTGATCAGAAAACACACTTTCAGTACAGCACGCGTCCTGATGAGCATAAGCCACGAGACACAAGCCGTGACTCAGGACTCTCAAACACTGACAAATGCAATCGAGTGGTCTGAAGCCATTTTTTCCAACGACATTGCAACACTGAAAGTGTCCTACACCTACAGCTCTGCTCGAAGTGCGCTTTATGAATACATTGAGCTGGAGATCACAGCGGGCTCATGTGCGCAGATTAAATCAACTAAAGGGCAGGACTATCAGTCATTCAGGACGGACGGGGAATTTAAAATGCTGCAAGAAAAGCTACACACATTGTAGCTCTGCTCCAAAACTTATTGAGCTGTACATTACATGTTCATTAATGACCGATTTCTGAACGACACACAAACGAAGCTCCCGAGAGACTCGACTCACAACGGATGCCAATACAGGTGACCATAATGACCATAAATATACATGACTTCTCAATTGCCTTATTAGATTAAAATAGGGACAAAGGTGAGTCTATGATGCCTTAAAATGCAGCCTCTGCAGACATTTACATTCAATTGAATATTAGATTGGATATAATCTTGCACAGACAAGCAGGTATATCAGCTTGGTCAATTTTTATGGTTTTATTTTTCAAACAATGTGTCCATTATTTGCACATGGTTCATGCTTTTCTGAAACTATTTAATTGGATGTTAATGTTCACTTTTTAAAAATTTTTTATACTTAATAGGTTCCAATGGTACAGAGTGGTACAAAACTATAAAAAATAAAAAACATTACTTGAAATAATATGCATGTTAAATGAAATAAAATATATAAAACTTTAACTTATTTTATTTCAGCTAGGTGCCAAGGCAATATTTCTCATTGTCATTTAGTTTTTCTTGATGTACTAAAATAACCTAAACTAAAAAAAATTTAATAAAAATTATATAGGCATATTTAAAAACAACAAAAACTAATAAAAATGACAAGAACACAGAATAAAATTACAAAAACTTTAACTAAAATTAAAATAAAAAAACTGAAAGTACAACAACAACAACTCAATCTAGCATATAACTATTGATGACTGCATAAAAAAAATAAACTTAAAAGCTTATGAAATACGAAAAGATTTGTAAACTCCAGCCACTGTCCATCTAAAAAGATACCTTTAAAGAAATCCTTTCAGATTTTCATTGACCAAAGCGGTTCGCACACAAAGACACTTTGTCATGTCCTGTAGATTAGTTCACATGAATGATAAAGTACAGGTTTTGTGAAAAGCTTTCATTGCCTTTGGCTGTATTGAACTAATGGAAGAGTTGGAATGATGCACAGCTGTCTCAGGATGCCAAATCATTCATCTGTCTGTAGTGCTCTTAAAAATTGTTCTGGAAATAAAAGCCCTGGGGAGCTTCGAAAGATAATGACGGTTTCCTCTTATTGATATAAAAGAAAAGAGACACAGAAATGGCCTATTTTACTGCCAGATGTAACGTCTTATGGTTTTGCTGCTTCGTAGTAGCTAAGCACAAGCCTTTTAGTGCCCAAAGAAAATAAAGACATAAACTGTCTGGCATCATTTCATTTTATGAACCAATTGATTTTTACTTAAATGAGTCCTACTGGACAGTGCAGCTGAGGATTGCATTGAAATAATACTTGACTATGAGTTCTAAAACTGATAAAAATGCATGCATTTTTATGCATTAACCCATGTATTTCATATTCTCCAGTGCAACAGAGGATTGCATTGAAATAATAATAAACGACAATGAATTCTGAAGCTTTATAAATGCATGCATTTATATGCATTAATGCATGGTTCGACTACAAAGCAACAGAGGTTTGCATTGAAGTAATAAACAACTATGAATTCTAAAGCTGATTATAAAAAATGCATGCATTTACACTACCAGAATAATTACAAAGTTTGGAATAATTGAAATATATATATGCTGTATTCAAATAATTTACTGTATGCAAATAAGTGCAGCCTTGGTGAACATATGAGACTTCTTTCAATAACATTATAAAGTTAGAATTTTTCCTTATTATTAATTTCCTTATTAACTTTTTATTTCAATGCAATCCTCTGATGCATTAGAAAAAATCTTAATTATTCCAAACTTTTGAATGTATATTAGTGTATATGCATTAATGCATGCATTTCTTATCCTCTACTCACCCTGAAGTCTATACCGACTGTTGAGATGAAGCTCCCAGCCAGAAACGCTCCGTCTTTAAAGCGAACCAGCAGACAAGTTTTCCCCACCCCAGAGTCACCAACCAGCATTACCTGGAGAGAGAGACATATGAGAGATGGAGCAGATCACACAATATATCCCATCATCTCTCCTCTCGTCTTCCCTGCCTCTTATTTCATTAACAACCTCTCATCTTTCCATCAGTGCCTCAATCAAACTAGGCCTCATTCCCTGCAGCACTTAGAAAGACTTCTTCAAGGCTGTAAAGATTAAAGGCAGGAATATCGGAGAGGAGAGGAAAGGGAGGGTTTGCTTGCAGAGAAATGAGATTAGAACAAAACTACACACTTAGTACACCAAACCAGTGGTTTTCCCAGAAGGAAGCAAGCAGAGCTATTCCAGTTAACTAAAGCTATTTCACATTTTTTTTTTTTATTACTTAATATAAAATATATTATATGTATATGTATATATATTTTTTTCTTTCTTTTTTTTTTATAAATAAAATAAAATAAGGTAGTTGCAAGGAAACATTGTTTCATTTAGTTTAACTTGATGTATTAAAACTGAAATAAAAACTATACAGACATAAAATATAAAAACAATAAAAATACATTACAAAAAGTTACAAAAAAAATAATAAATAACAACAAAATGACTAACTTTAAAATTAAAATAGAAAATAGAAAAATTACTTTAAAAATTTAGAGAGAGATTTCATACATTAGAATGTGTCCCATTTTATTTTTAAGAGCAAAAATCAAGTTTTGAATTATTTAAAATAATAAAATTGAGCATGATTTAGTCACAAAATGTAATCACTTATTCTTTTATAGATTTTAATAAATACAGGTAAGAATAATAATGTTTCATTTGTACATCAATATATGCGTCACGCTGAATGACCATGGAACATTATCTCACCCATAAATTTTATTTTCACAAAAGTTATTTGAAAGATGTAGACACTTTACTTGCATTTAATATGCTTTCTGTGGATATAAAATCAGTTTTGTAAATTGAATTTGATGCAGGCACCAGAACGGGACGTCTGTAATAAAAATAATAGCATATCAATAATACTAAAATAGCACTGAAGTAAACCGATTTTGCGGTGTATAAAACTATTTAGACTTCACTGTTAGGCTTTTCGATTGATTCCCCTCAAACTTATGATGCACAAACAAGCTCAGGTGTCTCATTAAAGTATCATTTAAAAAAAACTACTTTATAATTTTTCATGAACAGCATTGATTGTTTTCAGTTTAGAAGATAATTATTTTAGGAATATTTACAACTGCTGGTGGTAGTTGAAGAGATGTCTTCCTATAAATGTAATGAATTAAATGAAATGCAGTGTAATACGAGTAGAAATTTCTAGTTTGGGGTACTTGAGTCTCACTGATGGAGTTGTGAGGTACAAAACAGGTTAGGAAACACTGGTTTAAGTTTATGGAGCTGCAGGATCAGTTTAAAGCTATTCTTGCTCAATTGCACTGTGCACTCGTGAATGACTGCTGAGCTGACCATTCCTGACTGCACTTGATGCCATTTAATGAATAAGCTATGCATACGATTCATCAAGGAGGGACTATATAGATGCATTATTCACCAGATCAAACGGTCTTCCACATCAGAGTCACCTAAACATTTCAGCTTAAAACTCAAAACATCTTATTATGCAGAATGTGGCTGGAGAAATCAGAATACGTCAGTGTTGAATGCAAGTAAGTGAGTGTACTTGCATCAGGCTGGATAACCCAGTTGCTGTGCTCCAGCTTATCTGTATTGACACAGCTGTTCAATTAGAGCACGTGCTTAACTTCAGTCAAACAAGAGTGCGTAATTCTCGTCCACATGGGGCGGCTGGATAGCATTGCATTGTTTTTAAATACTGCTGTAGCACAAATAAAAGTCACAATCTAGTGAAGCTGCACACACAATCATCAGAGCTATGAAATATAAATTGTATAACACAGTTGCCATGTTTATGCTGGCAAACTATTTATGCTCACATATGCATACAGATGTATGGCAAGCCATTTTCCCCTTTAAAATGTAATAGCGTAAACTTACTATTTTCTACTGTTAATGTTATTAGTGCTTATCTTTCAATATTATTAAGTAATCAAATAGTAACTAGTGTCTATTCAACAAATGGACCTAGTGACACATTGCCTAGATACTAGCTAGAATATGAATATTTTAATATCTTCTGAATGGTTAGTGAAATTCAAATATTCTTTGAAAATACTTATCAGTAAATAAAAAAAATACTATTACTAGTTGTAATAGAATAGTTACTTGATACTATTGAGATACTGACTAGTAGAAAGGGGATAAGTACTAGTATGGAATGAATGAGAACTAGTGACCAGCTGAATAGATAAAAGTTAGAATAATCTGCATCTTCTAAATGGTTAGTGAAATTCAAATATACTACTAGTCCCTGAAATTACTAGTATAGGCTATAAAAATACTATTATCAGTTACAATGGAATAGTTACTTAATATTATTGAGATCATGACTATAAAAGGGGAATAAACACTGAATAAAAACTAGCCTAGTGAGAAACTGAATAGATACCAGTTGAAATTTTTTAATAATTTGCATCTTCTAAATGGTAAATGAAATTCAAATATACCATGGTATTGCAATGGAACAGTTAGGCTACTTGACACTATGAGATTAGTTAGAGCTAGTAGAAAGGGAATAAGTGCTAGTATGGACGCTCTGAAATTGTATTTAGTAGATATATCCAAACACTAGTAACATAAAAACAAATAAAGGACTATATGTATAAACCGCTTGCCATACTGCATTGGGTTCGCGTTGTTTGTCGTGTACCTTGAAGGTGATGTCGTAGAATTCCCCGCTGCTGCTGAGAGAGGGTCTGCTGGGATGCACCACTCCGTTGGACTGGGTCGGGACTTTCTTACCCTTCTCTTTATCGCTGTTCGGAGATGAGCTCGGTGCATTTGAACCCACCTTTCCGTTGACCGCTTTTTTCCTCGACATTATGATCGCTTATTCCCCGTGCGAACGTGCAACGAGTAACTAATGAGCAGCGAAGCGCGCGCTCTATCAGGTGCAGGTTCTCCCGTTGTCTGTGTCTTAGTAAGCGTGAATTAACTTTTCATCAATAAGCGCGCATGACTTAAGGGCTCCGTCAAATAAAGAGTGCGTGCAGCGCACCTGTTTCCGCGGCTCGCAGTGTCGCTCCGTTTTACGCAACTGGTCCGACAATTAGTTGTTGTTGTTGTTTTAGAAAAGAAAAGGCGTCTTCGATCCCTGCCTCCCGAATGCACCTGTGCGGCTGCTCTGAAAGGGAGAGTTCACCTCACTCCTCTAAGCAGCGTAGTACTGCACGCGCGCAGGGCGCATTGGCAACAATCAGTGGAAGTGTTGGCCAACGCAAACGCTCGCGCTCACTCTCCACTTGTTGGAATGCAAAGCTCCCTTAAAGGCGCAGAGTTATTTTGAACGCACACCAGGATTAGTTTTAGTCAGGGCTCTCCAGTGTCCTGCAGAGTTCAGCTCCAAGCCTAATCAAACACACCTGAACCAGCTAATCAAGTCTTACTAGGCATACTAGAAACGTCCAGGCAGGTGTGTTGAGGCAAGTTGGAGCTAAACTCAGGACCCCGGCCCTCCAGGACCGAGTTTGGAGACCCCTGGTTTTAGTCATGATGGCTTGACAATGAATGAACCAAGTTATTAGGAATTTTTAAACACCTTTTTTTTTTTAACTTACTGTAGTAGATCAGACAGTATCCCAGTAAGCCCGTTTCTGCCACGGAATAAAAAATGACGAAGGTAGTAATTGCGACTTTTCTCACAATTTGCTGTTTACTTCTCACAATCGTGAAAAATCAGATTGCAATAATTGCAAAAAAAATTTATTCAGAATGACGAGATATGAACTCATACGTGTGAGATTCAGAATTGCTCGATTTAAAAGAATTGTGAGTTATAAACACACAATTGTGAGAGAGAAAAAAGAGTCAGAATTGCAAAATAGTAACTGACTTTCTTACGATTCTGAGTTTACATATCTCTTATTATTTCTAACAATGCTGATACTTTTCTCGCAATTCTAAAAAACAAGTCAGAATTACTATAAAATTTAATTATTGCAAGATATAAACTTACAATTGAGGAAAAAAGTAAGAATTGTGAGATATAAATGTGCATTTGTGAGGAAAAATGCCTGAATTGAGATAAAAGAAAGTTGCAATTACCTTTTTTATTTATTTTTTCATTCCATGGCAGAAATAAATAATAAATTTTTTCACCACAGAAAAATATTTATTTAAATAAATAAATATCGTACAACTGTGAGGAAAAAAAGTCAGAATTGTGAGATAAAAGTCACAATTACCTATTTATTTATTTATTTATTTATTTATTTATTTTTTTTTTTTTTTTTTTGGCGTAAAAAAGTTTCCATACTTTGGATA